GGCCCCCCGACCCCGCGCCCTGGGAGGGCCCGCCCCCGACACGCACCGTCCTTGGGGCGCAGGCGCAATGTGGCGCCAGCCCTGCGTACCCAGCGCCGCCACGTCGGCTGCAGCTCGGACCGCCAGGGGGCGCGCATTTAATCTTGCCAGAAGCTGCAGGGCGCTAGAGCCAGCCGGCTAGAGAGGGCTGCGGCCTGCGCCTGGCGGGGGAGGGGCAAGAACCGGTCGGCACCGATCCCGAGCCTAGGTGAATCCCCACGCTCCCCGACGTCCGAAGACCTAGAATGTCCCTCAGGGGCCCGGGAGCCCTCCACCACTTCCTCGATAGTTCCGGAGGCCCCCAGGATAGCCCTGGAGACGGCTATTTGACTGCAGTATTCCTGCACACTCTGAACATCCTGTGACTATTTCTGGACGTCTACGACTGCCCCTCATAACCCCTGATTCCAAACTCTTCCCTCGCGGTGTAGAGAAGGACCCTGATTCCCCCCAGATGCCCTAAGAGAACACGTTCTGACTCACCCTCTGTGGCCCCAGGACCTCCGACTCCCTCTCCCCCTCCAGATACCCTAGGCAACCTTGATGGCCCAGCATCCCCAGATTGCCCCTCCACTTATCCCTAGAGGCCCCGCCTAAGCCCCGCAATTCACCAGAGACCGTGAATGCCCAGGTGTCCCCACTGATCCCAGGCAGTGGAGAAAGTTTTTGATCATGGTGCTGTAACAATTGGATATCCATAGGCACACAAAAAATAGCTTTGATACACTTCTTTTATCAAATATTTAATTCAAAATGGGTCATAGAACTTAAATATGAAACTGGAAACTAAAATTTCTAGAAGCAAGCATAGGAGAAATGATTTCTGACACTGGATTAGGCAAAAGGTTGCTTAGATAGGACATTAAAAGCACAATTCATAAAGGAACCAATGGATATGGTGGACATTATCAAAACTCAAAGTTTCTCTTCAAAAATGCAAATCACTTATCTGATAAAGGGTTTGTATCCAGAATATATACAGAATGCTCAAAACTTAACAATAATCAACCCTTAATAAGACAGGCAAAAGATTTGAGCACAAACTTTACCAAACAATATAATCAGATGGCAGATAAGTACATAAATCATGCTCAATATCATTAGTCATTAGGGTAATGTAGGGTAAAATCATTAGGCGATGCACATACATATTAGAATGGCTAAAGTTAGAAACACTCACTATACCACTATCAGTGAAGGTATGAAAGAAATGGAACTCATATACTGAAAGAAAATGTAAAATAGCAACTCTAGGAAAACAGTTTGGAAGTATCTGAAAATGTTAAACACACACATATGATCCAGCCATTGCATTCCCAGGTATTTACCTAAAAGAAATGGAAGCATGTATCTACACAAACACTTGTATATATAAATGTTCATAGCAGCTTTATACGTTGTCTTAGTCATCTCAGGCTGCCATTCCATTGCCTTTGTCTCCTATTCGGAACATTATTTAGTCTTCTGCTTGAATTAATGATTTCCCGAATAACTATTTTCATTGATCTCAAATAAATACTTATTTGCCTCTCACTTCAAAAGGCCTTTTTAAGTTAGTAATACTCTGCAATAACAAATAAAAAATTTGGATGGATTTCAAAATAATTAATAAGTGAAAGAAGCCAGATCCCCCAAAAAGAGTATATACTGTATGATTCCATTTATATGAAAATCTAGTAAAATGCACAGTGACAGAATGTAAATAAGAGGCTGTGAGGTGAGACAAGAGGCAGGAAGAAGGAATTACACAGGGCAGGGGAAAACTTGGCGGTGAGCATTATGTTCACTATCTTGATTGTAATGATAGTCACACAAGTGTAAACATAGTTCGAAACTTATCAAATCATATGTCAATTAAAAATTAATCCGTTAAAAAAAGCTTGAATAAATTAATAAGAATTGGATGGGCTATGAGAGGAAATGACTTAAGTCCAAGAATGAGGTGAGGCTAGAAGGGTCAAGAGGCTTGTATTAATGAGTGGATGGGGCTAAGAGGGGCATTCGTTAAAATGCACAATGGAGCAGAAATAAGAGGGTGTGCGGCCCTGTCCAGTCTAACTGTAATCAATATTGATTAAAGATAAGCAGCAGGGCTGTTACCAAATAGCTTGGCTGGGCACAATGCAGGTGAATTGGAAGTTTTATTCCTAATCTCTAGGCAAGTTTACCATGCATACCTCCTCACTCCCACTTCCCAGAGAAGAACACTGAGGCTATGGAAGAAGCAGTGGCTAGGGTTCGCCCTCGTGTCTGCCTTCTGTCTGGACTCCCAACCCTGCCAACAGCCTTGGTGACCCAAGCACAGCTCCCTCAACCTCAATCTTTGCTCCTGTGCTCAGATTTACAGCCCAGCTGAAATTGACTCTCAGAGAACCACCATCCACCTTCCAGGGCCCGTGCCACTACAATTCATCCCTGAGGCTGTCTTTGGAACCCCCATTCCTTCACAACCTCCCCCAAGACTAAATATTTCCTAGTCTGGAAGAAATTCCCCATCTCCAGACTCTTGAGCCCCCATCCAGTTGACAAGCTCCCTGCCCCATTTCTGAAGCATTGAAGCTGCCCAGTGCTTGTAAGCCTCCACTCACCATCTACATATCCCAGCTTTCAATCATGCCCCAGTCTGCAAGACCATCCATGCACGGATCTGCAGAACCTCAATCTCCTGTTCCCTAGTTCTCCAGTCTGTAAACACCCCTCTAACCTATTCACCGGTTCTGAAACCCCGAGCCCAGGAATGGAAACTGCCCTCTCCATCTACAGTGCTTGAAATCTAGAGAACAGGGTGCAGCAGTGAAGGAAGGCCAGTGTGTTCCCCTTCAGACAAGGTCAGATCAGAATGGGAGAGGTAGGGGACTAGAGAAAGGATGAAAGCAAGAACCATTCCGCCCCATTCACCCAAGACAGCCCCTGAAAGGTGGATGAGAGAGGTTGCCCAGCCAGCCAGAATGGATGTCAGGACAGTGCTTTCCATAGCCCATAGTGAAACAGTCATTGGACCAAGTGAGTGTTGGGGGTGAGCTGCCTGAGATGGGCACTGTTTGTCGCCTGGCTTCTGGGCCCTGGGCAGGTACTTGAGCCTCTCCAGCCTTCAGCTTCTTCCTCCACAAAGTGGTGATCTCAGGCCATCTCTCACTGTTCCCCATTCTTCCTCCCACTACAGTAGCACTGTGCCCAAGTGCTCCCCTCTTGGGGCCTGAGTCCCTAGACCCCCTCAATTTTAAACCTAGGAGGGGCCTCATTTGTCTCCTCTCATTGGCTGGCATCCACTCTCGCCCAGGTGTCTTCGAAGCCTCCTCAGGGCCAAGCTCCTACCGCCCCTTCATTCTCCAGGGGACCTGCTCTTCCCAGCTGTTTGAGTCCCCCAACACTATCAGGCTCAGGGCTTCAAACCCTGCCATAGCCCAAAAGGCTCCAAGGGTGCTTCTTCCCCAGCCCACCATACTCTTCCAGGTTCCCAGTAGGGACAGGCTTAGGCAAACAGTCGCTGTAAATTTATTGAGTGCCTACTATGTGCAAAGCACCGTTGCAGGCTGCAGAATTCCCAGGTACCTTGGGCTCCAGTTCTGCATCCAGTTTTTAGGTGTCAGGGCTCGGGCGCAGACCTTACTTTCTCTGGGCCTCGACTTCTCCTTCTCACACGTGGAATAAGAACATCCCCTGGATGGAAGGAGGTGCCCAGCCTAGGGTCCTTGGATAACAGGCACGTCTGAGGCAGAGTAAAGCCAAGTACTGGCGCCCACAGCCAGGGCTCCTTGCTGGCCACCAGGTAGGTCACCATGCAGGCTAAGGTGCCGGGCATGGGACGGGACAGGCCCGGGCAGGCAGCCAGGTGAGCGCGCGCGGGCGCTCAAAACGCGTCGTCCACCTTGACGACTCCAAGTCATGGGACCGCGCGCTGGGGGCGCCAGGGACCACAGGGGGAGCAGAGGAGGTACGCGGGTGTGTGTGTGGGGGGCGCGTCCCCGCCACACCTCGCCACGCCTGTCTGTTCTTCCTGGTTCCCTTTACAGGTGGTAAACAAGGCCTGCCCGAGCAGCGGCGGCGGCAGTGACGGCAGCGTAGGGCAGTGGCCCAGCAACCCTCTCAGGGCTCGAGGCCCCATGCCCGAACCCACACCGGCACCCACTTCACGAGGATGCGTACCAGCTCCGGTGGCTCTGAAGAAGTGTCTGGGGAGATGTGCCGGAGGGGTCTGCCTGGGGTCAGTGGGGACACCTGGGCTTTCACGGTCTCTGGTGAATTGCGGGGCTTAGGCGGGGCCTCTAGGGATAAGTGGAGGGGCAATCTGGGGATGCTGGGCCATCAAGGTTGCCTAGGGTATCTGGAGGGGGAGAGGGAGTCGGAGGTCCTGGGGCCACAGAGGGTGAGTCAGAACGTGTTCTCTTAGGGCATCTGGGGGGAATCAGGGTCCTTCTCTACACCGCGAGGGAAGAGTTTGGAATCAGGGGTTATGAGGGGCAGTCGTAGACGTCCAGAAATAGTCACAGGATGTTCAGAGTGTGCAGGAATACTGCAGTCAAATAGCCGTCTCCAGGGCTATCCTGGGGGCCTCCGGAACTATCGAGGAAGTGGTCGAGGGCTCCCGGGCCCCTGAGGGACATTCTAGGTCTTCGGACGTCGGGGAGCGTGGGGATTCACCTAGGCTCGGGATCGGTGCCGACCGGTTCTTGCCCCTCCCCCGCCAGGCGCAGGCCGCAGCCCTCTCTAGCCGGCTGGCTCTAGCGCCCTGCAGCTTCTGGCAAGATTAAATGCGCGCCCCCTGGCGGTCCGAGCTGCAGCCGACGTGGCGGCGCTGGGTACGCAGGGCTGGCGCCACATTGCGCCTGCGCCCCAAGGACGGTGCGTGTCGGGGGCGGGCCCTCCCAGGGCGCGGGGTCGGAGTGCCGCTAGGTTCTGAGGAGGCTTGTGCGAGCTAGGCAGGCGGGGCTCAGAGGGAGATGAGGCGGGGCTCAGAGGGAGATGGGACGGAGCTCGGAGAGAGGTGGGGGCGGGACCTTGAGGTTATCCTAGCATATTCCTCCAGGAGGTGACACTGGGAGGGTTTGCTGTAGGTGAGTGTTGGAATATTACTTGAGGGTGCGAGGATGGATGGTTATGCCTGTCAGCGAGGCTTGGATTGGCATTTCTGAGAAGGTGGGGCCTGAAAAGTGTGTGGGGCGGGCCTGAAATGCTGGTCTAGAGAGTGGACCATATATAAACGCGTTGGGAGCGGGGCTTGAAATATCAGGAATGGTTGAGGTTTATAGGCTAACTGGAGGGCTGAGCCTCGAATGTTCAGGAGCCACATCCTGAAGTTGCACCCTCCAGGGTGGGCCTAGGGTGTTATACGAGGGGTGGTGTCTGCGTGTTTAGAGGGAGGTAGGAAGGTCTGAGGGATGATTCAAATAGCCGGGCCCAGGATTATTATTTAAGAAGGCGGAATTGGGACAGTTATTCGTGTGGGCAGAGCCTTAAGGGGGCACTCCCTAGGTAGTTAAATAATGGGCAAGGCCTGGATGTGAGTTCCAAGCGATGAGGCTAGACTATTAATTTAGGGGAAGAGCCTACGTTGTTTATATGGCGAGTCACTAACAGCTTTCATAGCCTCTTCTATCCCCCAGCCGGTAGCGTGTAGGACTGTAAAGACAGTAATGTCTTGGATAGTCGCCTGTCCCAAGGCCCCCTTCCCACTCAGAGTTCCTAGCATGGCAAATGAGTAAATTGTTAAAAACCTTTGGTACTTTGGGGAGCTTGAGAAGTTCATGTCGTTGGAGACTCCTTAATGAAACTTGGGAGCACAAATTGGGGGCCAGGGTAGCTGAGGAAGATGGAAGCTGCTGGAGAGCAATGGACAGGGCCAGGCTGAGAATCCAGGACAAGTCAATAATGGATATCTCTTCATTTAATTAAGTCTTCTTTAATTCAACAATGTTTTGTAGTTTTCATAGTACATTTGTTACACTCCTTAGGTTAAATTTATACCTAGTTATTTTCCCATTTTAAGGCTACTGTAAATGGAATTATTTTCTTAATTTCATTTTTATATTGTCTATAGAAATACAATTGAATCTTGTATATTGATCTGCCCTGTAACCTTGCCAAACTTGCTTACTAGTGCTAACAGCTTTCTAGTGGAGTCCTTAGGGTTTTCTATATAATGTCTCCTGTAAATACAGATGGTTTTACTTCTTCCTTTCCAATGTGGATGCCTTTTATTTTTTTCTTGCATAACCTCCCTGGCTAGAACTTCAAGGACAATATTTAATGGAAGTAGCAGGAGTAGCATTGTTATTTTGTTCCTGAACTTGGATGGAAACGATTCAGATTTTCACCATTAAGTATAATCTTAGCTGTCTTCTGGACACATTGTTTCTGATAATCAGTCATTTTATAATCCTAACCGTGTATATAACGAGTGGTTTTATTTCTTTGTGTTACCGGACCAAAGTCTGTGTGCCTGATGCTTCACCAAAACTCAAAATGTCAGGGTTCAGAGTAAGGAAAGATTTATTGATCATGAAGGCACCAAATGAGAAGATGGGAGACCTGGTGGTGCCTCAGATCCTTACCTTGCTCACTGGACCAGGCCAAGTTTTTTTTAAGGTGCTAGAGAGAACAGGTATGTGAAAGTTCTGGTGGGGCAAGTTTTAATTGGAGGTCCCCTGGAACTTGGCCATTTATGGTCAAGGGGAATCAACACTGGAACTTCCTTAACAATGGACCCTTGGCTTCTGGAAGGGTTCCAGTGTTCAAGTTCCGGTCGCGTCCTAGTCCTTTGGTTCCATGGGGATGAGACTTTGGTTCTGGTGCAGCTGGAAGCCAAAATTCTCTCCTCTGCACATGTCCTGGCTGCATGACTTGCAGTCTTGGTCCGTTGTCTCTGAAAAGCAACTCAGTATCTCATTAAACAGGATAGGACCATTTTGAACCGATTCTACAATTACATTTGTGCTTGCAAGTTTTTCTCTTTGGATTTTGACTAAGTTATGTCTGGGTACCAATCTCTTTGCATTTATCCTACTTGGAGTTTATTAAGCTTCTTGGACATGTGGATTAAAGTTTATTCATCAAATTTAGAATGTTTTTAGCTATTATTTCTTAGAATAATTTTTCTGCTCCTCTCTGTCTCCATTCTTCTGGTACTCCTGTTACACATATGTTGGCACACCTAATGTTGTCTCATGTTTCTCTGATGTTGTGTTCATTTTTCTTGATTCCTTTCACTGTCCGTTCTTCAGACTGCATAATCTGTATTGATCTCTCCTGTAGCTTACTGATTCTTTCTTCTGCCAATTCAAATCTACTGTTTGCTCTTCTAGTGAATTTTTTTCATTATGGTTATTGTACTTTTCAACTCTGGGATTTCCATTGAGTCATTATTATTTGTGTGTGTGTGTGTAATTTTACTTCTTTATTGACATTCTCTATTTGACGAGATATTGTTATGCCTTCTCTTAAGTCTTTCTACATGATTTCTTTTACTTCTTTGAACAAATTTGTAATAGCTACTTTGAAGTCTTTATCTTCTAGGTCCAACATTTGGGCTTCTAACAGGCAGTTTCTGTTACCTGCTCCCCACCAACCCCCACATATGGGTCACACTATCTTGTTTCTTTGCATGTCGCATAATTTTTTGTTGAAAACTGGACATTTTAGATCACCTATTATAGCAACTCTAGGTACTAATTTGCCCATTTTTGTTATTGTTTGCTTCTTTATTTGTGTAATTACTTGGACTAATTTAGTCAAATCTATTTCCACCTGATGTTCCTCTTCAGTGGGTTCAGCCTTGGGCATGAGCACAGGCACCCTGGAATAACCTTACTTTTATCCAGACTCTCTTTGTTTCTTTCCCTGATATCCTAATTTAATTTCTATCTGGTCCACTTATATTGATACCACACCCAGTTGTTAATCTCCACTATTTTTGACAATGCCCTAAGGTATAATTTGTTCCATAGTTTTATCCAATTAAAGTCAGCCCCCTTGTATGGGGTGATCTTTGAGGGCAGTCCTTGCTGCTTGCTCTGACTCTAGAAGGGCTCTTCTTAGCTGTTTCTTCCTGTTTTGCTTGTTGCTATCATGGAGATACCTGCCTCTTCTTAATTGCTCACAAAGCCCTTGTAGACAAAAAAGGGGTATTGTAATAAATCCAACTGAAAGTAACCTCACAGGGTGATCTGGTCATAAATTCCTAACTGGGTAGTTCATGATGGGTAGTCACGCCCCAGGCATATAACTTCTTTAGTAAAAATTTTATCTTTGCCTTAAGCAAGCCCGGCCATTGTTTCTGTGCATCTAAGGTAACACATTTGAAATGCCTCTTTTTCAGACCCCTGAAATGTAACCACCCTCAAGAGAGTACATAATCTTGTTACCTATCCTGTAATCCTATCCCCACATTGCTTTCTCCCACTTTCATGTAACCTTTCTTATGTTCCCTACTTAATTCCAAATGCATAAAAGTAATGGCAAACTGTCATTCTGAGAAGCATTTTTCTCAGTCTG